GTTTTTAGGGTTATTAACAAAGTTCGTGTACTCAGACCAGTAATATTTGGAGTCACAAGTTTTTGCCATGAATATTTTGTGGGTCAGAAGACAAAAAGTTTGGGAACCACTGCCTTAATATATGTACAATAGGCTGCCTTCAGGCCCAGACCTCCCTTGAAAAACAGATCTGAGATCTCAAAGGGACTTGCCTGGTTAAATAAAGGTAAATAAATAATGTATAAATAAAAGTGGCCGGTGTTGTGAGGATTATATAGCTTTTAAAACTCTATTGAAATGAGTATTCATGTTTTTTTTTCACATCTTTTTTTTATTGTATTTCTGTATTTTGATTTCATGGACCAGGAAGACTATAGCAACCACCGCTGCGGAAGTTAATGGGGATCCAAATAAAACAATGAATAATAAACAATGTTATTCTACTTTTTGTGAAGAAACTAATATTATAGATCATCACGAAACTACTTTTTGTAATGAAATGAATGWACATCCGCCATTTTTAAGATATATGATTTGCTAGTTTGGTGGCATTGTGTGGGGGAGGTGCAGGGTTTGGGGTTGGAGCTCTGCTGCAGACTGAGCTCCAGGGAGGAGCTTTGGTTAAAGAGTAGGCACTTATGAGCAAGCGTTTTTGCACCCTCAACTGGCTACCACAGGAGATTCAAGGATTTCTCAAACATGCACGACTGAGTCCAAGCAACACTGTGAGTGTGTGTTTGATGAGGGAATGGTTCTCTAACATGATATAAAGTTTATAAAAGTTGGTTTTGCATAATACCTTTCCCTTTAAGAAGGCTTCATACTGTATGTGATGCACAGCATTTAACCCTTACCCTACTGTGACAGAAAAGATGCAGCCTATCTAAAACCAAACACTGAACCAGACTCAGAGGTAACCTGGCTGTTGGGACTCACGGTTGGCCAACAGGTGTGTTTTCCGGCACATTCAGGCTGTASGTAGAGTTAGTGAACTGTGGTGGTCGGTATCCAGCCAGGATGGAAACAATGGCAGGTGGACCTTTGCGACCCCGTCCATCAACTGCCTGGACCCTCAGCAGGTACTCCTTGCTTGGGGTAAGAGGGCGTCCTGTAGTCCTGATCACACCAGAACGACGGTCCACTTCAAAGCACTCATCACCACCTTTACATAAAAAAACAAAGCAGTACAAAACAACTAAATGCGTAAAAAACTTTGTTATCAAATGATAATTTAATTCATGATGTCAGATTGTTTCTATGTGATACTGCATCAATTAATTTGATCARGTTGTTCCAACATCTATATAAAATTGTAGAAACCTTGTCAGATATCTCCCCTTGTTAGATATTTTGCAACATTTTAGGAAACAGGTCATTTTAGGAATATTGTATTTGCATTAACTAAACAACACTAACATTTTTTTGACATAAAATGACACAAAAAGGGACTACTGGTACTGTTGCAGTTAATTGAACAACAGATCAATTTGTGATTTTAAAAAAATTTAAACAACCACCYGTTTGTCTGTTTGTATCTAAATAAGTTGATGGAGTCCCAGCTGTCCAATTATGAAAAGCCAATTGAGGCAAATTAGTGCTGGAGGGACGCTGCATGCTCGTGTGTTTATTTTTGTGTGAGCTAGTTAACGCTCTCTGAAGACTCCAAAAAAAAAAAAAAAAAAGGAAAGAAAGAAAGTGGGCTCATTTTCACCCACGTCCCCCTGGGGTAAGGAGACAGAATGGGGGAAGCAGGAGAATAGCAGGGATGTATGGATCCAAGGACGTGCAGAAAAAGTAAAGACCATTGAAAATATATATATATAGAGGGCAAAAAGTGAGGTGACAGAGAGAAAAAATGAATAGATGATGGGGGGAAAGGAAGGAAAAGAGACCGTAGAGCAAAAATTGCAGGGAGGGAGGAAGAGCAATGATGGAAGAAGAGGAAAAGATGAAAAAAAGGAGAAAGCAGGAGAAGAATCCCCAGCTGTTAACCAGAGGGTTCTGAACCAGCAGCTGCATCCAATCTGTCAGTCATCTCCCTCTAACATATCTGTCAGAGCAACAATTCCCCTCAAGTTTATGTGAGTTTCACTGAAGAAGAAAATTTTCAGCATTAAAACTCTCAAACGTCTTTAGTTGTCTTGGTTGTAATTATTGCATTTTTGTCTCTATGAATCCCTCCTCCTCCACCCAAAACAATACAACTATGTGATTATTCTGCACACACTGAAAAATAAAATGTGTTTGACTTTTACATTTATTTTATTGTGAATTTAACACATTGGATATTTACCAGAATTGTCCCTGTCAAATAGTGAGAGGTTCAAAACATAATTTAGGTACAGTAGGTGTTAATTCAGTTCAATTCAAAAAACACATTATTGATCCCAAAAGGAAATTACAGTTCAGAACAACCATTCAAGAGAGAGACAAAAAAACACAAAGAAGCATGAGAAAACAGGGTCCTGCAGCCATAAAGAGGCGCTACCCTTAGAAAAAAGAAAAGAAAAGAAAAGAAAAGAAAAGCCAACAAGAGCATATATGAGGATAAAAAAGAACATTATGCTGTGTCCACTAAGGACACAATCTGAGTTTACATAAAAAAACCTGCACAGATTAAAGATCATGGGGTAGTGGGGTAGGGGCTAGGGGATAAGGCAGGGGTCTGCAACTTTTACAATCAAAAGAGCCATTTCTGCTACTGACGCAGTAATAAAATGTGTCCAGAGCCGCAAAATAAGCTACAACTGTGATTATCAATTGGTGGTCTGTGGGCCTTTTCAAGGCCTTATTGGGAACTTTTACGGCCAGTGGAAGTGATATTAAAAAAACTAAAAAATATGTTGCGAATTTTATTTTTTATTATTATTATTTTTACCCATCAGGACAAATAAAAAGAC